GAATTAGCTGTGGCCAAAATTATGTATTTTTTTTCTCCAGGTATCAGCACAGCATTAAAGAAATGACCATTGCTCTCAAAGTGCAATGAAGCTAAGATCTCAGTTTTACAGATTCTACTGTGATATTCACCAAGAAGTGGGGAGTGCAGCAAAGGAGGAAGTTGTTCCATAGAAATACCTTCCCCATGTTTTCCCAGATCCCAGGGTCTGACACAAAGCAAAACAAATTACTTCCTTAGCAGCTCTGCTCAGTTCCATACAGCTGTGTGCTGCAGGTGGTGCCCTAAAAATATGTTTGTTTATTTTGCAACTCTGCAGGTTGTAAAGCTGCTCTTAATAATGAAATAGAATCCCCTCCATTGCATTTTCCCTTCTTCACTCTGAACCCCTCTCTTTAACCTGCTGGAAGAAGATGGTAAGACAGAGACGAAGTGATAGCAATGCAGTCCAGTCTCAAAAGAATGAAATGGCATGGAGCACAAAGTAAAAGCTGACTAGCACACTGTGTGGCATGGAGATTTTGGTGGTGTACCACTTCAGACAGGCAACTACAACAACAATTGAGTGAAAAATCAGTGGAAATTTTTCAAAATAGACTTCCATAAACAGGACAAAAATCAGACAATGGGTGAGCAAGAAATAATGTGTTACAAGACAGACATAGATGTGCATGATTTGGTAATTTTTCATATTTATGATAGTATAATTCTTTTTCTGAAAAGGTCTACAGAGGCTGTCGTCTTCCACCAGCATCACCCCATGCCCTAAGTGCTCTGTGTCACAGGACAAAGGAGTAGCTGTGGCTGCTTTGCAGCCCTTCTTATCACTGTAGGTTATTCCAGCTCTGCTTTGCATACATAAATGTTAAATACTCAAATTGAGATAATCCTTGTCTTCTCACAGTATTTTCTTGCATGCATTAGTTCTCAAGTAATTTTTCCTCATTTTGAAGATTTCCTAAGCGATGAGTGTTCATCTGATCGATGTATAGAGACCACCAAAATTAATTTTCTGTCACTTCTTCAGTGTGAGCTAAAATAGAAATTTTGTCGAGTTGTTTTTTTATCCTGAATAAAAGCCTCTCCTCAGGAGAAGCTGGCAAAATATTTGTGCCTTATCACATCTGTCTCTCCTTAGTCCCTAAGATCAGTATTACTTGGGCAACACCACCACCCTACACACTGGGGATTCTCCTGACCTTAGGGATCATTCCAGTTGATTTAGTTACTACCTTTTTTAAGCAGTAGGAGAAATAAAAATTAACCAAAATTTCACTTCTAAAAAAATAAAATCTGTGTTGATTTGCACAAAATTAGCAGCAGTGTTCATATGGTTCACAGTCTGGTGCTGTTTGTTTTTAGGCCAGTTCACAGTCTAGGTGCTGTTTGCTGTGGGGAGACAAGGCCTCTTGCAGACTGTGAGTATTCTGCACCTCCTGAGCAGAGCATCTCTCTGCAGTCCTTGAAATATTCCACAGCCCACCCTGAGACTTGCTTTTTAGAAAGCATAAACCATGGGGGGTTTATAGGTTTTATTTTAGCTGTCATACTCTTTCCAGTAAATAATCCACAGCAAATATCACGTCTATGTGAAGCCTCAAGTTCTGTATCTAGATTCCCTATGAGTTTACTGGCAAGCTATCAAAATAGACTCAGTATAATTTTTTTCAAGCATTGAAATAAGTGGTTCTCAGTGAAGCTGAATTTCTCTGTAACTTTCTTTCTGTAGGCAGTAGAAAACCTCCTCGAAAACATCCTTAAAAACATGCTGCAGTGTTACTAGTCTGTGAAAAAGCCAAGATCAACATTACCTTGATCATTGTCATGAACACACAGAAATACAAATAGAAAGCAAGTAACCACTTTGTAGGTTGCAATTTATAGTTTTAAAGTTTAAATTCAAGATTCACTGAAGTGCCCATAAAAGAAAATTGAAAGGAAAGAGTAATTACTTTCTACTGGCTGGAGATAAATCTCATCTAAGGCTTGGGTTTGTTGAAAGCTAGTTTGCTGAAAATCAAGCAATATCTAACTTTGTGTTGTATGCCACTGGGCAGTACTAGGTAATTCTTCTGTTTCTCATCACATTTAATGTGATAGTGAATTTATACTAGTATTTCTATTTGAAAATGAATCCCACACCCACAACCAGAAAGTTGAAAATTATGTAAACAGTAAAGTTGAAAGAACCAGATTTGGAAAATTGACCCATATTTATATTGTGTAGCTCTTTACCTATGATAATCACATTTACAGTAACATAAATGGAAATATAAAAGTAACTGTAGTTGGCTACGCTAGCCGATTACCAATGGTTTGTATTCTGAACCATTCTCCTAGCTTGCAAAGAATGACCTTATCTGGAAACACAGGTCTCTTTAGGCACAGACACACAAAAACCCTTGCTGAATCAGGAACAGAATTGAGCTTGAGTTATATATTCCTTGAGTTTCTTGCTTGTTGTTCATTATATTAAAAAAAATAAGGTAGAAAAATAAGCCTGGATATCTCCTTTGGAGGACTTGAGGGTAGGAAGGCATTGCAGAGGGACCTGGACAGGCTGGATCAATGGGTTGAAGCCAATTGTATGAGGTTCACTAAGGCCATGTGCCAGGTCCTGCATTTTGGTCACAACAATCCCAGGCAATGCTACAGGTCTGGGGCAGAGTGGCTGGAGAGCTGCCCAGCAGAAAAGGACTTGGGGATGTTGATAGAAAGCCAGTTGAATATGAGCCAGCAGTGTGCCCAGGTGCCCAAAAAGGCCAACAGCATCATGTCTTGTATCAGGAATAGTGTGGCCAGCAGGACTAGGGAAGTGGTTGTCCTCCTGTACTTGGCACTGGTGAGGCTGCACCTCGAGTATTGCGCTCAGTTCTGGGCCCCTCACTATAAGAAGGGAGGTGGTGGAGTCACCATCCCTGAAAGTATTCAAAAGAAATATAGATATAGTGCAGTGCTTAGCAACATGATTTAAGCACTGAACGGGTAAATTAGGCTATGGTGGGGGGATTTAGGTTATGGTTGGACTTGACGATACTCAAGGTCCCTTCCAACCAGGATGATTCTATAATTCTATGATTCTATGAAGAAGAACATTTAGATGCTGAAGTGAGTCCAGAGAATGGCAACAAACCTGGTGAAAGGTCTGGAGCATAAGGTCTTATGAAGAACCTTTGAGGGAGCTGGCGTTGTTGAGCCTGAAGAAAAGGAAGCTAAGGGGACACCTTCCTGCTCTCTACAACTACCTGAAAGGAGGCTGCAGTGAGGTGGGGCTGGTCTCTTCTCCCTAGTAAAAAGTGACAGGAGAAGTGGTAATGGTCTCAAGTTGCACCAGGGGATGTTTAGATTGGATATTAGGAAAAAAATCTTTACTGAAAGGGCTGTGAGGCACTGAAACAGGCTGCCCAGGGAAGTGGTTGAGTCACTATCCCCAAAGTTGTTTAAATTATGTGGAGATGCGGTGCTTAGGGACATGGTTTAATGGGACTCAGCAGTGTTGTTTGTGGTTGGACTCAATGATCTAAATGATTCTAAGATTCTATGAGTAAATTTTGAGTGATAACAACTGATTGTAAAATAAATTGTAAAAATATTTAAGCTAATTTATTTTTTCACACTGACCTTGTTGCACTTTTACCTTTGTCTCATTTGCACCAGCTTTAGCTTGTCAAAACTGCTTTTGTGAACTAGCTGGAGAAAGGGCTGCTTTTGTTTTCCAGACCTATCTAATCCCTGCCTTGCTACTTAGTTGGTCAAGATTCCTTTGCACTGCTACAATATGGTGAGCTGAAGAGCATGAAGGAGATCTGAGATGGCTCCATGGAGGTAGCTGGGCTTGCAGGTGAATCAGCCACCAACGTTTCACATGCAGAGTTCACGCAGAGATGCACTGACGGAAAGATATATTGCCCCACTATATTCCACACCTGGTACTTGGCCATTTACAGCTGGGCTGGGGAATAGACAGATGGAAGAGCTGCTCACTTTTTGGGTAGCTGAGGGCCACATAATATATTATGGACTATCCAATTGTCTTACTATAGTTTCTGTGTCTTGCTAACCATATTTCTTATCTTTTGATAGTATGGTTCCTCTTTGAACAAAACACTGGAATATATTAAGCAAAAACAAATATAAAAAAATATAGAGAGGGAGTCACGTACTCAAATTTAGATGTATAGTAACAGGGTTTTTTGCAGTCATGTATATTTCCACCTGGACATAAACATGGTTGCATCACTAGAACAAATATAAAAGTGAAGATTGCTATTCAATGTAATTAATTAATATGTTTATGTCAGCTTTCCACCTAGGTCAGAGAAAGCAAAGGGCAAAAATCTTTATACAGGTAAATACAGTTAGAAAAGCTACCAGTTTTCCCCAAAACAAGCAGATTCAATTCCTCCATTCTGCAGTGTGACAGTGGATTATTATCCTCCTAAAAAAGATTTAAGATTTCTGGTTTTGGTTTTCATGCAACAAGTAAAACATTTTGTTCTCTTGGGAAGAACCTTTTCCGTTCACATCAAGTGCATATGACTAACATGGTGAATAACAAACTGATCAGTTTTGAGTCCTGTGAACTGATCAGTGAGTCTATTTTATACTGTTGAAAAATTATCCTGCATTTGGGTTTCTCTTTCATATTCAACTTGGCTTTCACAGCAATATCTGTAACTAATTATGCCACAACTTATATCCTACAGTACAATTTTAATGTAACCTGCAATAGATTATTTGTGGTATGGTCAATAGTCAAAACGGAGGCCAGGAAGGTAGAATGTGTCATTTGGCAATTCTCACAGCAAAAAATATGTTGGAGTATTCCTTGTAACAGGTGTATTGAACTAGTTGCAAGACAACAGAGTTTTATAACAAAATTAATTCTTAGAGCCGGGGTCTGTGAATGAATTTCACAGTATTTTCCTATTCTGGTAATGATGTTCTGCAATAAGATATCTAGAAAAGATGATGGAAGTGAAGCTATCTGTAAATACTTACTGCAAGGAAGATCTGAAGAGAGCTGTGAGCCACTTCAATGTACTGATATTCAAGAAAACACCCCGAGACAGTGATATAACGATGATCTTCTGGTGCCCAGTCTGGGGCTGGGGTTACCGAGGTCACGGTGCAGCCTGGCCCATTCTCCATCCACCAAGAACGATGCATTGAGATATTAAATGTCAGAATGAGATCTGTTTCCTGCAAAAGAACAAGTGAAGAATTAACGCACTGGGATAGTGCTTCAGCATCAAATGCCTCAGGAAAAGATTTCTTAGGCTGTATGAAGAAACAAAGAGAAGCAGTAAAACCACATTGTCACAAGAAAGTTAGTGGAGCTTCCCTGCAGCAAGCAAAAGTAGCTGTACCTTGGCAGATAGAATTGTTTTGGAGCAGAATAATCCTACAAGCCAGATGTGCTCCTAGACATTATGTTAGCCTAGCCTATAGCAGTAATTTCTCTTACATTGCCAAATTTTCTGAGGAAACCGTAAGGACTGATGGACGTGCACATTTACACAGCAACCCTCCTCTGCGCAGTTTCTGGAGGTATGGTCCATATTTTGGTGGTTTGATGTTCCAAGCCGTACAAGAGTCCATGGGAACCAACACTTCATAGACTTTGATATGTATGGGTCACCTACTAGGAGTTTTGCTTCACGGACCCTGTGAAGCAGACCTGTTGTAAGTCTGCTGAAATATCAGAGAAGATGTAAAAATATTACTCTGTATGAGTATACAAGCATACAAGTATAGCCTCTTTGGAAATCCTCTTCCAGATTTCTAACTTACAAGGAATCTGTAAGGAAATAGCTAGTGAGTGTTACCTTGTATAAACACTGCTTAGCTTGTTAAAAAGGACGGGTAAAGAGGCCTGCAATCTCTAAGTCCCGTGCAGCTGCTGCAGTGGAGTAACTACCCAGTCATGGTCTCTTTCAAGATTGTATTTATAAATAGTTAATAAAGGATTAATGAATGATTAATATACATCCTGAACAATACTAAGGATATGACTTCCATAAATTATACTTTGCACATTACTTGAGAGTGTTATACAGAGTTACAACAAAACTATGGTCTTTGAGGATTCTATAAGAGGCTACAGTGTTTACCTACCCTTTATGAATTATTTATAAGTGTAACCTCATTGTAAAGTGTGACTATCTAGTCTCTGTGCACATGTGCTCAGTCATGCAAAAAAATTTGCTTTTAAGTGATTTCTTTGCAGAGCCAAACTCTCCCCACACCTAACCTACATTTTTTCAGCCTGTTGATGACATTAATAATTAAGATTCTCATAAAGATTTTACAGTGTAACTATTTAATTAGTTTACCATGCCAAAAGGAATAAACAGAATACCATTCTGAGGCAGATATTATGTGTCCACATTTCCATCCCTTCAAAACCAGACAATTTTCAATCCCACTTATTTTCTCTTTTTCCACTAACTCATGCAAAGGTAACTGCACCCAGAAAGGTTTTGGATAATGTCATGACTGACATGTCAATCAATCCATGATTACACTTGACTCTTAAATCCCTTCTCTTTAAGTTGTAGTTCTTTCTGCAGAAATTTTGTACACCTAAAAAAACCCCAACAATTATTTACCTGATAAGCACACACATCTATCAGATGGCAGGAAGGGCTATACATCTTTTTGTGATCAATAATTAACCTACATTCTCACAACAGCCCAATCCAGAAAATAATAATCTATATGAGAAAATGTATGATGCTTCACATTAATTTAGTCATGCAACTAACTTCAAGTATTTGAAGATGATCCAAGTAACAGTGAACATTTGTATAAACTACACAAATTACCCCAAAATAGAAATATTTATCTACAGGTGTAAGTCTTCACTTCCAACAAACCCCTCCTTTCTCTGCACTCCTCCCTACCAAAGCTGCAGATGCTGGAAAGTATCTGGAAGATGTTTCTTGGAAATGGGCAATTTTATCTTACATCCAAGCCAAAAGACTATAAGAGACCTGGGGCTTTTCAGTCTAGAGAGGAGAAGATTGAGAGGGGATCTAATCAATGTCTATCAATACCTGAAGGCTGGGCATCAAAAAGGCAGGGATAACCTCTTTTCACTTGTGTCCTGTGATAGGATGAGGGGCAATGGACTCAAACTTGAGCACAGAAAGTTCCACCTCAACATGAGGAAGAACTTCTTTACTCGTGAGGGTTACACAGCACTGGAACAGGCTCCCCAGAGAGGTTGTGGAGTCTCCTTCTCTGTAGACTTTCAAGACCTGTTCCGAATGCCTTTCTGAGTCATCTGTCCTAGGGGTTTGTTTTTTTTGTTTCGTTTGGTTTGGTTGTCAGTCATGCTCTGGCAGGACCTGCTCTGACCTTCAGAGGTCTCTTCCAACCCCTAATATTTTGTGATTCTGTGATTCTGGAATGAGGGCTGTTACAGCCCCTCAGTAGCACCCTGTCTTTCTTACCTGGTGGAAGAAGTTAAAAGAACAAGTATCTTTAGAGTAACTTTGCTTAAAGTAATAGATTTATTCCTGAATGAATAAAATCAGAATCCATCACTTTATTGTCAGAAGATCTTTAAGCAATTCTAGTTACCATGGAAAAATCTTAATCTCTAGTCTCTTATTAGACATGTAACATGAATGAATAGGACTCAGTGTCTGGTTCTATTTTATCATTTGCAAGACTATTTTACAAAGAGCAGACAAGGGATGAGAAATGTATTCCTTGAAAAAGAAAGGGATAAATTGGCTTGCAGGAACTGAGTATTGTTAAGCCAGGTGAAGTTAAGATGGATCAGATGAAGCTAAATACAAAGATCATAACTGGGCTGTCTGATTAGAACATCATTTCCATAGAGATAGTTATATTTGCTTACAAAGGGTGCAAACAAACCTTTACATGTTAAAACCATAAGTAAATTTCCAAGCTACACAGGAAATACAATCACATGTTAAAATATTTATAATTACATGTGTAAATAAAACTTTACAAATGCAGCTTTCTTTTACCCCATAATTTATATCCAGATGGTTTTCTGAAATAATTTGTTATATTTAGAAAAATTCCTTCCCCTCAATTATCTGTTGACAACTAAGTCGAATCATGGGATTAGGACTAGATAATCATCTTTATTTTGTTATTGTTCAGGAATAGTGTTTTAGAACTTGCTAGTAAAAAATTACAGATCTTTATCAGGTCTATATTCTATTCCTATCTCCAAGTAATCAGTAAAATGCTGTGTTGTTTCATCAGCTCATAAATTGACCTGCTACCTATCACAAAAATGTTGCATTCCTTATCTCTTAATATTAGCAAAACCAAATAAATCCTACTGAAAGCTCTGATGTCAAATCTTAAAGAACTTTGAACAGCGTGGTTAAGAATATTTTTAAGGACTGTATTCATTATATAGTGAATCAGGCAACAAACAGCCAACTGCAAAAAGCAAAATGGTAAGCGGAGGTGAAATCTAGTTCTGGTAAGGTTAGATGTCATCCATGGCTCAAGTCAAACTGGGCTGGAATAGAATGATAATGAAGGCAGATTTTCACAAGCAAGCACCTAAGTTAAGCTCTTTAAATTTATGTCCTTAAAATATGTGAGATAAGACCAAATGCAGAAGGAACTTATTCACAACAAAGTCTGCTGCTGCACAGCTAGCTCTTCTCAGGCATAAATTGTTACAGGCTTTGAACTTGCCCATAACCTTCAAACCATGTCCCACTGTATGCAACCATATAAGCAGAACAGTTCCTGTTCCTTAGTAGCAAAGGTCACCCAGCTTACAAAAAAAGTTTTACATCTTACTGAGAAAACTGATAAAGACCTGAATCTCCTTGTTGAACTGTAAGCCAAGGAGCAGATGATGTATCTATCATGAACATCTTTTATGCTGAAAACATTTAGAGCTGTTTTTGGACAGGCTACATTTGCTATTTACTTTATGCACTGTTTGAATACAGTTTTACTGGATGTAGACAAAGTCTAAACTGGAAGCTGGGGATTTGTTGTACTCTCCAGTGTATTTGTCATCTGTTTTCTTTCTGACATCTGTGGCTCAAACATTGTTCAGGGAAATGCAGAGAAATGGCCTGATAAGCCTGGAAGCTATGAAACCTAAGAAGAACTGTTGATACACATTGGGCATGCCAATACAGTGTTGTTCACAGTCTGTGTGCCACAAAAGATTTCATTATCCTGAATTCAATAAACAGCTGCCTCCTTCATGGACCCAGAAATACGTCTGTGTGAGCTTTATTGATGATCACCGTGCTGTTTTTGTAAATCCTGCTGGTATTTGTAAAGCCTGTTAATGAAAACTGGTGCATTAAAGGAGATTTTGCTATTCATCAAGGAGGAAAAATGCAGTGGAAAATATTTAGTACTACATCTTTGCTGACATTCTTAAGATGTGCTGGCATTTGTAGTGGTCAGGGGAAGTACTGCTGGGTTAGACAAAGCTAGGGTTTGGAGGTCTCTGAATCTCAGATCTCAGAGATTAGAAGCTGAGACATAGAATAACTGAATGCCAGGTTGGAAGGAATCTCAAGGATCATCTGATCCAACCTTTCTAGGTAGAAACATAGTTTAGATGAGATCACCCAGCACCTTGTCAAACTGAGTCCTGGAAGTGCCTAGCACTGGGGAATCCGTCATCTCCCTGGAGAGATTTTCCCAATATCTGACTGTTCTCATAGTGAAACATTCTCTTCTGGTTCATCGGGATCTCTCTAGGGGTGACTTGCACCCGCTACCCCTTATCTTTTCTGTGTGAGTCCTTGTAAAAAGGGAGTCTCCAGCTTCTTGGTAGCCACCCTTTAAGTACTGGAACACAGCAATAAAGTCTTCCTGAAGCCTTCTTTTCTGCAGGCTGAACAAATCCAGTTCTCTCAGCCTTTCCTTATATGGCAGATCCTCCAGTCCTTTGATCGTCTTTGTGGCCCTTCCCTGGACCCTCTCTAGCCTGCCTGCATCTTCAAATCAAGCCTGTAATTTTTTTTTTCAGCTAAGTTTGTAAAAAATGTTGAGTTCTGATGGTTTTGCCTGTGTTTAATACAGTAGATAATAACTTTTGCTGGGGTTAATGGCATAGTACATAACATTTCCTGGCAGAGGACAGCTGATGACAGAACATGGCAGCAGAAAGCTTTGTAAGAGCTTCCAGAAATGTATGCAACCTTCTTTGCATTATGCAGCAGCAGGAGGAT